TAATTTTCCCTGAATCAATACTTCGAAACTTAATTACCCACATACGATGGTTTTAATTGGTTTATTCCTAATGATACATCTTAAAACAGTTAAACCAAACCGAAATTCAATTTTTGTATTTTTTTTAATCAGTTTCCATTGGTGATATTTTTTTTTTAATAAATAAAACATAATCTTCTTCTATTGTAAAATAAACCCATTAAAATGTTTACATAAGAATGTTTACGTTGATCCGGGATTTAATAGATTTATTTTACAACGGAAGAAGATTTTGTTTTGTTCATTAGAAAACAAAAATACATCACAAATGGAAACAGATAAAAAAAATATACAAAAAATGGATTTTGGTTTAGTTTACTTGATTTTAAGATGTTAGGTTAAGAATAAACCAATTAAAACCATCATATGTGGGTAATTAAGTTTTGAAGTATTAATTTAGAGAAAAATAGGTTTGCAATTTTCAATTCGTAAAAATCTAGCATGAGATCATAGTTTGGTGGGGATCTAATGATATATGATAGTTTTCATGGGTGAATAGATCGTCTACCCATAATTAAGAGAAAAAGAAAAGAAAGAATAGTGATGAAGGATGTGACATACTATACTATGATAATGAAATAGTATGTTAGGGTATATTATAAAATAATGACAACTAATAAATATAGTGTTAATATTGTACTTAACTGCATATGTATAGGAGTTGATCGAAATTGAAGGTCGAGAAAGCTGCAACTGAATTTTTCTTCGCTGCAATTACAAGTGACCCATATGTGAGTGTTCACACCATCCAACGCTTGCAGTCATGGAAGCACCATGTATGTAGATCACACTTACTATCAGGTCAGATGATATAGTACATGACTAGGTGCAACAAAATGAGCAATAAAACTATGCCACGGTGAATTTAAAATATACATTAGTGAACAAACTATGTCAACATATGATCATTTAATGAGAGCCTCAGTTCGAAAAAAAAACATATGATCATTTAAATAAAAATAACAACAAAAACATTATGGCCGTTTTACTTTAAATAGCTGATTCAACTGCAACTCTAAAACTGTAATAATATTTTATGAAACTAAATTATACTTAAGTTTTCTAAAATTTTTATGTGCATACTCATTCAAATTTAATCATAGTTCAATTTTTAGACATTTATGTGCATATTTACTTTAATTTAATTTTAGAATTTATCAAAGTTATACAAATATATAATATATTAGTTTATTTTGTTATACTTATCTTTTAGTTTGATAAATTAATTATAAAAAATATAAATATATTTTTTGGTTTTAGCATGACAAAATAACTATAACTATTCATTTCTGGATTATATCAAATTTTAAATACCAAAAGCTTGTTAAAAGGTTAACTTTGAAATGATAGGAACAATAACACAAAAACATGCCCTTTTTAAAAAAATAAATAAATAACACCAAGAACCAAGAGAAAGTACAAAAAAACAATATAGCCAGTTAGTCACGTTTTTGTGGTTATGCTTAAACTCCGTGCTATATGACAAACTCACCATGAAAGTTGCAGAAAAAAGCCATGACTTGTGAGAGTCCTCTCTTTCTTTCTTTTATTGTAACACAACTTGTGAGAGTTCATAACCACTTTGTAATGGGTTTCTGTGACAGTTTTAGTTTTGTCACGAATATTTCATGATTAAGTTAGTGACAAAAAAAAAAGAAGAAGTTAGTGACGGTTTTTAATTTAGTCACGTTTATATTCATGATTAATTCGTAATTTTTTCAATAATATTTATATTTCATTAACTAAAAATAATTAAATTTAAAACTAGAAAATGAATTTTTATATTATTTTTTTACATTGGAGTTGGTTAATAACTATTGTAAATAATATATATTTATTGTAAATAAATATTGTGATGTAAACCTTAAATTATTATTTTATTTCATGTCATTTTCTTTATATACTAATTATATATAATATTATATATAATTTGTATCTTCAGACTTTTATCGAATATAAAATTATTAGTAATACAATAAGTAAATAACTGATTTGAAATGTTATTTGTTTCTATGACAATTTTATATTATTTATATACATTAATATTTAAATTTTTGAAAATATTTATTATATATAATATAAACATAGTACTAGATTTTGGATATAAAAGAAAATTGATATGTTTTAATATTTATCTAAATGATAAAATGATTTAATTGATTTTATATAATATTATTTGTATTCTTATTATTATATACAATCAGTTTTGAATAAATTTAATTACTTATTTACCTTAAGATATAATTTAATTTGAAACAATCATTATTGTTAATGATAAATAAGATTAATTGATTTGTATTTTTAAAGAAGATTTGATTAAGAGTAATTAATGTTAAAAATTAGAATTAGTTGTTTCTATTGGTATTATGTGTAATTAAAAAAATATTTAAAAGGTTTGTTCGGAGTCCCCTTGGTCCAATTGTTTGACTAAGCGTTTATAGTTTCTAAGAAAGAAAAATTATGCAAATTAATTGAGACAAAATTTATAAGAGATCTGCATATAGAATTGCCGGTTATAAAATTATATATTATATTTTTCATATTTATAATAGTATAATTATCTAACCTTAAAAAACACTGTTTATATTGATATTTCAATTTTAATAAGATAGATACTCAACAGATAGCAAGCCATTATTGATAAATCACTATGTGAGTGTTATCTCTCCGGAATTGGAAAATGTTCAAATTCAGAAACTGTTCATATCCAGCGCAGGTTCATTAAGATATGAAGGGAGAGTATTAGGATATTTTATTGTGAATTCAATAGTGGATATCCTTGTTAATTATATATTCGTACCTACTGATTACTTTCATAATTTCATACTTCAATAAAATATAGAACAAGAGACTTACTAAATACTAGGTGGACTGCTCGCACGCCTGTGCGAATATTAATATAAGTATACATTTCATAAAAATTGATATGAGTATATAAATGTATTGTAACTCTCTTTCTCTTCTACATAGATATTCTGTTTTTACTTGTATATCTTTCTATCTTATTCATTTCGTTTTTTTTTTGTTTTTTCACACACATTAATACTATCTCTTTTGTATCTCTATTCTCGTTCTTTTGTCTATCATTGTAACTCTTTCGCTTACTTTCTCTTTTTTTTTCTCTCTTGATCAAATAATCTTAAAATCTTTTAAACTTACATTCGCTCTCTCTCAATCATTTATATTCGCTCTTTTACCTCATATTTATTATAACCCTCAATATTTTACTTTTAAACTTTTTCTATTTCTTTTTTTGTTACAAAATTTTTACCAAATTTTGTTAAATCTTCAAAACACTCTCACATAATATTAATAAATGATTTCATGATGTATCTCACTTACATTCAGTCTCTCACTTATTTCATTCTCATATCCATCATGATCATAACCCTCACTCCTCATCATCAACATCTCTCCCTCTCTCACCTATTTTTTTATTTAGCTTTTAACGTAAAACTCACAATTGAACTCACAACAAGTTAACCAAACAAATTCATTATTAAATTCTCTCTAATTTTCGCACTATATTATCAAATATTGATTCATTTGATCAAGACTTTCATGAGAAAATAAATATTTTTTTAAAAAATATTTATTTTTGAATTACTTCAATACACACCTATTTTAAGTAAATCTGATTTACTGTATTTCAAAAAATGTTTAGCTAATTATATATCCTAAAATATCTAAACTTTTAAATAATGTAATGTCATTAGACATAGATATATCAAAATAACATGTTTCTGTTTGTATAAATTTTGTTATAACTTTGTTATCATACATTAAAAAAATTATTATACCACAAAAAAATATTTATCATTATTTTAAAATAATTTTATTTTAAATTTAATTTACGTTATATTTTTCATTTTCGACATTAATAAATTTAGAACTTATCATTTATATTTATCTTCCTTGCTCAATTTTTTTTATGTTGTATAAACACCTAAAACTAATTAGTTTACAATTATACTAAAATATTTTGGTACACAAATAAAAATGATGTAGGAAAAGATATAAAATCACGAAAAATACAAAAAATGTTTTATTATTATTCACTCATTTTTTTTATTTATGTCTATTTTTTATTATTAAAAATTAACATGCCAATTTTATTATACTCAAAGCTATATGAATAGAATAACTCTAGTCTTATATTAATATAATTCAACTATAATACCCATTTTTCCTTGAAAATGATTGATTTTTTTAATTATATATTTGACTATTTTAAATTTATTTGGTATATTTTTAGAATATAAGTATATAGTGGGTATAATTATTATTAGGTTTTTATTTATTATTGCATTCACTAAAAATAAAACATATTTAAATATTTTTGGATCATCATTTTTATCGGAGAGACTAAGATTTGCAAATATCCGTTTATATTTAAATAATTTATATAATGTAAACTATGATAATAAATTTGTTCAATGAATAAATTATGTTAGATTGTTTATATTTAAGATGCTTGGTTGTTTATTTGGTAAGATAGTTAGATAAGGTAATTCTATTATTGTTTTCCTTTTAAAATCTTTAATTAAGTAAATAAAAATGCAAATACCAACAACTAATCAAATTAAGAGAATTAATTCTAAATTTTACCTATAAATGACACCTAAGCAAAAATCACTAAAATGACTTCTCATTTAATATATAGTAGAATACTCAAGATCTTTATAAATTTATATGTAAATATAGTTATTAAATATTTTTACTAGCACCCCTATTTTAGACAAGATTTACTAAACTTCTAGAGAATATCCTTATAAATTATATATTTCGTACCTATTGATTACTTCCATTGTGACTTCAAAAAAGTATACGACATGAAACTTACTAAGTATACTCGAGTCAATGGCGGAGCCAGTGTTATACCAAAGGGGTCATGTGACCCATGTATATTTTTTTTGTAGAAACAGTTTTTACTTGTATTTAAATAAAAAAAACAAAATCTGATGAATTCAGGTTATTGACTTCTGCAAAATACATATGTTACTAAATTGACTGAAAGAAATTCCTGCCTCCTCCACTGACTCGACTCGAGTTATAGATTTTAAAATAACTACCCCATTTTAGAAAATGCTAATTTGTGATTCATCATTCTAAATTTTATATATATATATATATATATATATATATATATATATATATATCCTAATGCAAAATCCATAATTTGATTTTTGTATCTCTAAAGAAAAATTTCTTTTCAGCAAATAAAACAAGAAATAAAAAATATTGATTATATATGGAAGGTTTCACCCTTTCCTTATACATGCAGGATAGAGAGACGATAAACATTAAAGGTTGATTGGAATGAGGTGTAATTTTATATTTTTGATGTAGAATTAAAGTTATAAATTCTTTAACTGTGATTGTAGATAATTTAGCTGTAAGATTTTGACTATAGATTTAAAATAATTTAATCACTTACATATCGATTTTCTAAAGAAAAAAAGGTTTAAATATAGTGTTTTCTACAGTCAAAACTACATAAAAAAGAAAGAAAAATCTGTAGCTTTGAAAACTGTTTACAAAATATTAATGGAAATTTTTTATGCTTTAGAAATAATTTAGACCGTGAAAAGCTTTAACAACACTTCTGAATCAGTTGCCAATCATCCCCTAGATCTGAAATATTAAAAAGCTTAGAGACACTTTGGCAAGGGAAGAAGAGTTTCTTAATAAAGAGGGTGTCACTACTTTTGAAGTTCTTAGACCACCCCCATCAAAAGTTTATTGATGGGTTCACACAAATCCCTAAAAAAAATATTATTATAATCTGTGAGAAGTAAACCGAGGTCGCGCGAGTGTTCCCCAGTAAAACGGGTTCAACACTGTTTCGTGGGTTCCACGATACGTGACGGCCCACGATTGATTGGTTTATTAATTTTTTTTAGAAAAAGTTAAAAGAAAAAAAATTCAAAAAAGTCATTTGGGGAGTCGAGCCCCATCGCTTCACTGATGGACATGCTCTAAGTGCTTACATATGAAAATCGAGATCTCGAGCCTCAAACCTAAACCTTGATAGCTTGATGGGATCATTGTCCTTGGCTTCTCTGTTGTAATCTGACATGTCTTAGATCCACCAGTGGCTAAAGGATATTATGGTAGTTCTTACATAGACGTCTACAGTAAGTTAACCGTGAGCAGGCCCGGCCTTGAAAATGTTTGGACCGGAAGCATTAGAAAAACATGTACCTGTTAATTAAATAAATAATAATAAAAAAATTAATTATGTTGCAAATCATGTTCAAACCATTTATCTCTCAAAGTGGCAACAAGAGCATTAACCAACTGAGCTGCTAAAAATATTGAAAAAAATGATCAAAATTTTTAGATAGTTTAACAAGGCCAAAAACACATTATTCTAAATACTTTTACCCAAGGCCGCTACTGCCGTGATAGAGCTCGATGAATCATCAATCTTTAACATTGTTAAGCTTGTGAAGGGAGCCAAGAAATCATCTTACGACAAGAAGTATGTCAAGGAAGAGCAAAGAAACATAGAGAGATTGATAAAGAAAGATGCAAAGTTTGAAAGGATAAGAAATAGTTTACTGTTCTTGACTGATATGAGGAATATCGGGTACTTTGAATGGTTAGATTTTGGTTGGAAAGAGCCTGTACATGTGCGGCCATTGACGCCTCCTGAGAGCGCAAAGAACATGGGGATGATCTTGAGACCTTCAAAGGTGGATCCATCAATGGAAGGTGGAGTTAAAGTAATCATCACATTGCCTAGAGATGCAATGGTCAAATCAAGCAAGAAATATATAAATGCGTTAGTGATATAAACTGAGCTGATAAGAGAATGTTCGTATAGGCGTGCTAATATATAGTTGGCTGGTACTTTGATTCTAGTGAAAACAAATTTGTCCCGTAGATAAATTTCACTAAGATTTTGAATTCGTAACTTTATGTTTCTTAGATTAATCTTGGGAAATTGCCAGAAATAACACTTTCAGGATACCACTTTTCAACTTTACCATTAAATTTTAATAGTCAAAATATTATTAGAATTTAAGGTTTAAAGTTTTGGGTTTAGGATTGATTGTTTAGGGTTTAGTGTTGATTTTTAGGGTTTAGGGTTTATTTTTTAGAGTTTAGGGTTTAAGGTTTAGAATTGATATTTTAGGGTTTAGGGTTGATTTTTAGGATTTAGGGTTTACGTTTTAGGGTTTAGAGTTTAGAATTGATGTTTTAGGATTAATATTTTATTTAATATTTATTTTATGTATATATATAAAGAATAAGAATATAAGAGTATTTTATACTTTAATAAAATGTGTATTTTTGAAAATGTTCATTTGTTGATGGTAAACATGAAAAGTGGTACCACCAAATTGATATAACCAAAGTGGTATAATTGAAATTCTCCCATTAATCTTTAATGTGTTAAATTATTTAAACTAATACTCCCTTAACATACTCCCTCCATTTTTAATACTTGAAGTTTTAGTGAAATTATTTTGTTTCAGATAAATGCGTTTTCAATTTTTAGCAGGAATAAACAAAAGTATTTCGTTAATACTTAGAAGGTATTTAATACAAAAGGATAGTGAATTTTTGAGTGTATACTTTTTAGCTGAATTTGTTTGTATTACTATTAATCGTGAAATCTTTAGTCTATGTAGAGTATGTTTTTATATGTTGCTGTGATTTGTGATTTACAATTGTGATTTGTTATCTAAGCGGTGGGGTTGGTTTTTGACATCGATGTTGGGTCTCTTATGTTATTAATTGGGCCTTCAGTAATAACAGCCGCTTTTTATTAAACAGTGTATAGTTTCCAACAATAAAAACGAGGCAATGTTATATTGCTAAACTAAATAACAGCACGGTGTTAGTGCGACAAGAAAAAAAAAAAAATCAAAATCACTGCTTTCGCTTTCGTCTTGTTCACTTGAAGAAAACACAGTAAACAAAAAAACCTAAAAAAAAAAAGATGAAACTCGCAGGTCTGAAATCTATCGAGAACGCACACGAAGACTCCGTCTGGGCGGCGACTTGGGTTCCAGCAACGAAAGATCGTCCGTCGTTGCTTCTGACTGGATCTCTAGACGAGACGGTGAAGCTATGGCGAGCTGACGAGCTGGATCTTGTGCGGACCAATACGGGACACTCCTTGGGAGTAGCGGCTGTGGCGGCGCATCCTTCGGGGATAATTGCAGCGTCTTCTTCGCTCGATAGCTTCGTTCGTGTCTTTGATGTTGACACTAATGCTACTATTGCTGTTCTTGAAGCTCCTCCTTCTGAGGTTTGGGGGATGCAGTTTGAACCCATGGTAATAGGCTTAATCTCTGGATTTTAGGTGTTGAATAATGCTTGGAAACTTGGAATTTGTAGTGAAGATCAGACAGGAACCTAAAGAGTGTCGTGTACTGTGGTCTAGATCATCTTCTGATTTACGGGTTACGACCACAATAACAATTTATTGGGTGCTTAGGTGAAACATGTTCCTTAAATGTGTAGCTTAGATTAGATAGGATCTTTGAATGTCGTGTCCTGTGGTCGTAAATCTCTCTTGATCAGCTTCTGATTTGTTCATATTGACTTGCGACCATAGTAGCAGACCAGCAGTTTGGAGTTTGTGGATTAGATCGGACAGGAACTTAGAGTGTCGTGTATTTTTGTCTGAAATCTCTATAGATCATATTCTAATTTGTTCATATTGACTTACGAGTTACGACCGTGCTGGCAGAACAATAGAGTATTGGTTCCTAGGTAAAACATCTTCGTGGTTTTTGTCATTGCTTATGGTCGTTTCCTGTATCAACCGTGACTTGTTTTCATTGACGTAATACAATACGTTAACAATAGATTATTACATGAAAATAGAATCTGTTCGAAATCTGACCATGTAAAAAGTTCTTTGCAACCTTTTCTTGCTACATGTGATTCCTTCTAAGTTCATTTTATGTAATGTTCAAGATAACAGAATGATGCGCTTTTGCTAACATATTCATTTACATGTTTCAAGGGTACAATCCTTGCTGTTGCAGGTGGTAGCAGTGCCTCGGTCAAGCTTTGGGACACTGCGAGCTGGAGAATAATCTCAACTCTATCAATCCCACGTCCAGAAGCACAAAAACCTTCAGACAAAACCAGCAGCAAGAAATTCGTTCTCTCCGTAGCTTGGTCTCCTAACGGGAAACGTCTTGCTTGTGGTTCAATGGACGGCACAATCTGTGTCTTTGATGTTGATCGCTCCAAGCTTCTTCACCAGCTAGAAGGTCACAACATGCCTGTTAGGTCCCTTGTGTTCTCCCCTGTAGACCCGAGAGTCCTCTTCTCTGGATCAGACGATGGACACGTCAACATGCACGACGCAGAAGGGAAAACTCTAATGGGGTCCATGTCGGGTCACACGAGCTGGGTGCTGAGCGTTGATGCTAGCCCAGACGGTGGAGCTATAGCAACAGGGTCAAGCGATAGAACTGTGAGACTATGGGATCTTAAGATGAGAGCGGCTATTCAGACAATGAGTAACCATAATGATCAGGTTTGGTCTGTAGCTTTTAGACCACCTGGTGGAACTGGTGTCCGCGCTGGTCGTCTCGCTAGTGTCTCTGACGACAAGAGTGTATCTCTCTATGATTACTCATGAAAAAGAACACTTTTTTATGCATTCTTAAAAAGGATTCTACTAGTTGTAACAATGTAATCTGCAACAGCTATTCGTTATGTTCAAACTTCACGTTAGAACTTATTACAAAACTCAGAAACAGATAAAAGCTCACTTAAAACAGTACACAAATAGTCTGATTCTTATGCCCTAATCTTCTGACTCCCTAAGTAATTCTTGAGAACATCCATAACGGCACCAAAATCAGCTTTCACCTCAACAGGAGGGTTAGAGAATCTACACGCCATGTCAGGAATCACCTTCGAGTGATAATCCACCTTCGACTGAGTAAACTTCAACCCATGAGCAGTACTCACAACCACCGTCCTATCCGTCGGCGCAATCACACCTTGCTTCCTCAGCTTAAACAAAGCCGTCAACGCCACACCCGTATGCGGACAAATAAACATCCCCGTCGAATCCGCCTGCGCCATAGCATCCATCAACTCCTCCTCCGTCGCCTCCTCCACAATCCCATCGCACTGCTTCAACGCATAAACCGCTCTATCGATCGACACAGGGTCACCAATCTGAATCGCCGACGCGAACGTCGTACTCGCAGTCATGGGCTTAAAGTCCTTCCAACCAGACTTGTAATGCAAGTAAAGAGGATTAGCATTAGCCGCCTGCGCACACACCAGCCTCGGTATCCTATCAACAAGCCCCAATTCTTGACACATCTTGAACCCTTTGTAAAAAGCATATATGTTCCCAAGATTCCCACCTGGAACAATCACCCACTCGGGCGCCTGCCAATCAAACTGCTGCAGAATCTCAATCGCCGCCGTCTTCTGCCCTTCTAACCTCAAACTATTCAACGAATTCGCCAAATAAATCGGTAACTCCGCCGTAACCTCCCTAATCAGCTTCATACACCCGTCGAAATCACTATCAATACTCAACACAAACGCGCCGTTAGCTATCGGCTGAACAAGCTGCGCCATAGAGATCTTATTAGCAGGCAAAAACACAATCGAAGGTATCCCCGCGGCAGCGCAGTAAGCAGACAAAGCAGCTGACGTGTCACCAGTCGAAGCGCACCCAACACCAACAACAGGCCGGTTCATTTTCCTTAACCGGTTAACCTGACTAACCAAAACCGTCATACCGAGATCCTTAAAACTCCCCGTGTGACTAATCCCACAGTGTTTCACCCAAAGATCGTTCATCTCGAGAAACCGTTTCCCGAACCTCTCGGCCCAGAAGAGGTTAGAGTTACCTTCGAAGGCCGAAACGATGTCGTCGTCGTCTATCTCCGGTAGGACCCACTCCTTCTTCGACCAGACTCCCGATCCGTACGGCCACGTGCTCTTGCCGACGCGGGAGTCGAAGAGATCGCGCCAGTAGGCTCCGTCGAAGCGCTTTAGGGCTTCCATGTCGTGCTCGACGTCGAGGAGGCCGCCGGAGCGGCTGCGGTAGACGATCTCGTCGAGGGAGTAAGATTCGGTGGAGTTTGGGGGAGCGTTGAAGGGGACGTATTTGGCGGAGAAGGGGTTCACGGCGGTGGAGCGGTGGAGACGAGCGTCGTCGCGGATGGTGTTCTCTGTGCGGCGTGGAGGTTTGACGGATGTCTCGATGGGAGTGGTGTTGTTGTTGTCGGAGCAGGAGATGGAGACGGGGCGGTGGCGGAGGAGGGAGGGAGAGGGGTGGCGGCGGATGGGGTGTTGGTTAGGGTTTAGGGAGGAGAGAGAGGCATTGAAGAGAGAAGAGGAAGCCATTTCTAGTGAGAGAAAGAGATGCGGCTGCGAGAGACAAGGAGAGAGTGTGAAAGGAGAGGCTTTAAATTCAGATAAATCTTGGTTAATGCTAAACCGGTTTTGAACCGGTGTATTAGGTTTTTTTTTAAATCTAACACATAGGCGTAGCGAATAGCGATCTTTGGGCCCGTGAAACCCATTTAAATATCCACATCGCTCATTCAAATAACTTAGGCTAAGTTGTCGGTCTTCAATATAAAACCTGAGATTTGAAGAGATCGGCCAGAGGTTTTGGAGGGGGTTAATGGCTGAAAAAGAATCAAGTGAAATCGGGAGGCGTCCCACAATTCCAACAGTACAACGAGTACCTCGCTTGCTAGCGTTGAAACGTTGCGGGAGGGCCTATGTAAATTTCCTCATAATATGGTTTTCAATTCATGGTTGTATGATCTGAATAGAAATAGAGTCTCACGAAATAAGTAAAAATTTAAAAATTTGTTAGGGATTTGATGTGGATTTCAACAGCCATCCGCCTTCATTAATTGAACCTGAGTGGGGAGATGACTATGACATCGGTCTCTATGGTAGGATTGGACTCCAATGCCACAATCTTCAGAAGGTAAACTAACTAACTATCTATGTATGATCGATCAACTTTTTCTTAGTTTTTTTTTTTTTTGGTTTTGGCAGGGAACAAACTTTAAGTATAGATGCTGGGAGAAACATAGTATGCGGATGACTGGATCCATGGACTTCTACGTAACTTTAGAGGCAATGGATCCGGCCACCGGCTCTGTCTTTTCTTTTCAGACGCTGTTACGCGACCAAGGACCTAACACTCCATTCGGTGTCAGAATTTCGTTGCTCAACATAGTCTCCAGAATCACTCCTATTGGTAAGACCATATATATATATACATAGAATTTATTCAAAAACTAACTGTTTTTAGAGATCAGGTAAACAGCCTGTGGATCATCACTGGGACAAGGACACGCCTGCAATACATGACTTCTACAAAGGTCCACTGCCCAAATGGTTTTCTGATGAGGCCTTGGCTCGTAACAGTAACAAGTATTACGTGGTAATGATCATTCATGGAGCATTTTTTTTTTATGTGTTATAGTAATCCTTCATTCATTTTCGCAGGTACCTGAATCAGAGCTCCATGACAATGACTGGCTTCAACTTCTCGTGGAAGTCGCCTTCTTCTCCAAAGCTGATCGTGTATGTACTTTAAATTTTGCATTTTTTCTTGTTATCTCTCCCGAAGAGTTGTTCTCTTACACATGTAATAATTGCAGGCTTTGGATGCTTACCTACCTTTGGAGCTCAACAGTGTTGTTGTGGAAACTTTGGAAGATTACACAACAGAGCCTCGTGAGAAGCTCAAGGCAAACAATGCAATCTTTTACCTGAGTTACAAGTGTTGCACTGATCCTTCTTCCGTGGCTTTGTCTGGTTATCCCCATCTTTCAACGACTTTGGCTGGTGATCACCTTGCCGTGGTGAGGAAAACCATGGATGGGAAACCAGAACACATGAGGCTTGAAGTTTCTTTAACCAAAAAGCAAGAAAAAGTGTAGACATGTGGATCGGGTCTGTTATAGTTTCCTCTGCATCTGTCTCTTGTCTTAAAGCATAGTTAGGAAACAAAGAAAAACAAAGAAATATTGGTTTGTGTTGAGCAAACCAATTCTCAAAGAGCACAGTTTTTTTTCTTAAAGCATAGTTAGGAAACAAAGAAATACTAATCTGGTCTATTTGGATGAGTAACAAAATATTATCCTCTTTCCAGAAACGTAATAAAGGATTGTGCATAACTTAACCTATATCAATTCAAAATTAAATGCACATCAAATCTATCCAAATCATAAGGGCGGAGAGGAGACTGAAAAGAAACTGGAATGCACTTTGAAGATCACTAGCCCTCCAACGGTGTAATCGCTCCACTGGATCATTCTTAGTACTGGTAATGGGTATGTTTTGGATTTCATTAACATCAAAACTCAATGTTCTACATTTATTGTTACATGTGGAAGAAATTGGAGTTTAAGAGCTACATTTTTTACACAACATGAGATGAAAATGTGAGTAAATCAAAATCTATACTTTCGTTATATTAGAAAAATATGAACTAAATCATCAAAATGAGTTTAGAACTGAAGAAGTAGATGGTAACATGTGTTCATAATCTGTTGCGATTGCAATTTCTAATCAGTTTTGATTAAAGACTTTGAAGTGCCAAAATACACTCGCTTTTCCATCACATAGTACAACGCAAAGACTTAAAAGTACATAAAGAAGTACTTATAAATAATGTGGAGAAGCAAAGATGAGTAACAACAAAGAAAATTGACTAAAATTGATGGGAACAATACTTGGATCTGAATGAAACTTCACACTAACTATATAAATCTTAGTAGTGAGTATATCCCAAAGCAACATGAAACATCATCATAACTACACAAGTTTGGCACTATAACCATTCATTATCAAAATGCATGACCATAACCATTCATCATCAAAATGTGGCCAACCATAATCATAATTCAATAAAATTCCTCCAACTAAAACCGGTATGATTGCCACTTATAACTAGTCTAGCTTTACAACTATAAAAAGTCTCATGTATAACATGTGTAGTTCAGAGCTATTCCTCTTCTTAGATCTAGACCGAGAGTACGAGGCAAAGCATTGCGGTGGAGAGTGTATGTATTTTATTTTCGCATATCACTTTTTATTGTAAAAAGGAAAATGTTACTTTTCACTTTTAAAGTTCAATGTTATTTTTTTAAAAATTTACTTCTAGTAAACTTTGTATTCATTTCTTAGATAAATAACATTCACATTCATTGAAAAGACAAAGCTCAATTCATTTTGGTTATATACACATGATATATCTCAATGCAAACCAAAACATATGGTAAAGCCGTAGTTACGTAGTTGTTGCTTCTTTCTTTTTGTTTTCATGAATTAAAATATGTTTGAGAAAATCATAAGCTAAGTTATGTCATTACAGAAAAATAAATTTTGGAGAAGATATCAAGAAAATATATGCAAAAGCTTTAATATGTATTGTTATTGCCTTCTAAATTTTGAAAGGCATCCATATCAAAATGAACGACAAGAGTGACAATTACCATATAAAAATCTTGTTTTGGTTGATATGCATCTATGCTAATCAGCTTCAAAAGTGATGATAGTTTATAATGTTTCATGTTCAATTATTGTTTAATAATCATTTTTGTTATGTTTTTATGGACTTTTCAAGTTTTTGCTTGTCTTTTGTATATAAGATTAGAGTTTGAATAAATTTGGAGATATGAAAGGGATCATGGATGATGAAATTTGGAATGAAGCGGCGCCACATGATGAGGATTTAATCTTCAATTTTCTTGATTCGATCTTATTCGGCGAATAGTTTTTTTGAAAAAAATTTCCGATGTCATGGAAATAAGGTTTTGCTTTTGAACATGGGTGAAGCTTAGCAAAGAGGCGTAAAATATGTATTTGTATTTCATCATTGATAAGATAATGTGGTTAAGAAGTGAATTAAAATCTTTATTTTTATACATTTTTTTTTGTTTTCTACAATCTTTTTAACACATCAAAGAATAAAAGTTGTGTTATTTCTTTCTACTTGTGCATATATGTTTGATTTTAACAATGAACTAATTCTACAGTTTCACCTCTGTTCTGAACGTTTTCCTGAATATATTCTTCTATTAAGAGAAATTTACCTCCACATTTGATGTCAGTTTTGCCAGAAATTATTCTATAAAAATGGTTCAACTAGATGTCTTAACGCCAAAGGGAATAGAAAGTTGGATGTTCGACAATGCGTATTTAGTGCATACCAAATACTTTTGCGGTTTTGATGAGAAGTGTGGTAATTTTATATTTGTTCTTACGAAGAAGCATTTGCAAGTTTTAATCGATAGCTATTATGTTTGCTGTTAAGATTTAATTTTGTAAAGAAAAAATTGATAGATATCTGTTTACCAAATTAGTTTTTTGCTAATTTCAGATAGACCCTAAGAAAATATACAAGTAAGACTAAACTTATAAATTAATTCCACTTGATCAGTAAATTATCCATTCGTTTTATATCTTTTTAATTTTGTTTGCACTTTAACATAATATTCGTAATCAAAATTGTAGAAAGTCATTGGACATTGACGTGCCCTACAAGTATAAGTGATGCACTTTCCATTCATGAAATTGATTGGAGTACACACGGTATAGTCAGGGAAATTTATTTTGAATAAGTCGACCATGCCAAGGCATTAAAGCTTTTTAGATCCAATGAAGAAATGCATTAATGTTATGATTCACCGTTGACAGGTTTGAAAGTCATGATTGAACCATGGAATTCCACTAAAATCCAATTGGACTGGTACTGGTTGCGGCAAAGATTTTATCACTCAGAGTCTTAGTTATGCCAGCGTTAGACATGTTTCAAACGATTTCCGTACATTCAAAAATGTCAACATAGCAGTTGAGTGTTTGAAGAATCAACATATATTAGTATCAATTGTCGTAATGAAAACGAACTTATTTGATATTTAACATGTAAGTAATTATGTTTAGTAATATTTATATGATATTCTTTTTTTTATGTAGAATCATTTATGCAACTATGTTTAGTATTATTCTAATGAAAAACCAAAAGATATGAGTAAAGTCATGATTAGCAGTTGTTGAATTTTCTGCTTTGTTTTGTTTTCATGAATGACAATATGTCTGAGAAAATCATAAGCTAAGTTATGTCATTACAGAAAAACAAAATTTTGAGAGGATATCAAGAAAATAGAGGCAAAACCTTTAATATGTTTTGTTATTGACTTCATGAAAAAATGAAAGGAAGGATTTTCAAGATCATAATGAACAACAAGAATGAGAATTACCATTTGAAGATTTTTTTTTTGTTGGCAATATTTTGTATTAACGTATGAAGAGTATTGCAACTTTATCTTTTACAGAATCTTGTATTATTATGTTTATTATAATATGTTATTATATATATATATATATATATTTAGAATCTATGTGTCCTGGCTAGAGATGCTCATATAAGCAAAAATGTAGATATTTTAATTGTTGTATATCTCAATTGTTGTGTAGGTCTTGTTCCTTTTTTTTTTTTTTTGCAAGATCTAATGTTTTCATCGCAAACTGATTTTTTTCGAGGATGAAGTTGATGATCCTAGTTTGGATTATTTTGTTGATTTGGTTTACATTTGGTTGATATGCATTTTTGCCCACCAACTTAAAAGTAGTGATAGTTTATAATGTTGCACGTTTAATTATTGTTCAATCACAACAAGTTTTGTTATGTTTTATTGAGTTTTAATATTGTTGACTTTCTCTTGTAATATGACATAAAAGTTTAAATAAGTTTTAGGATATAAAGGGGATCATGGATGATGAAATTTGGAATGAAACATCACCACATGATGAGGATTTAATCTTCGATTTTTCTTAATTCGATCTTATTCGGCTAAATTTTTCATTGATAATCGATTATTTTTATTTCTCATTGACACTTGATTCTTCTTTCATCCTTCTACATTTAACGTCTGATATGTATATAGTTTGCATTAATTTTATTTTATAAATAAATATTTTGCTCACAAATATTTATAAGTTCTCATTACTATACTATTAATCATTTATCCAAACTATGTTCAAGGTTCTCATTGACCATATCAATTTTTAGAACTTCTTTTTCTAAACGATGACCAAATTTTTTCTTTGTTTCTAGTTTTAATTTTTTTTAGGACTGACACTGATTATCGATTCTCTTACATAGTATTAAAGTAATAAACATCTGGTACTTAATACATTTGGTAGATTCATTTCATACAAATCAATTAAAGTTGACATCATGTTTTTTATCAACTACATAATAATTTTCAGTCTTTAGGCTAATCCATTGTAGAAACTTTCAAGGCTCTTGCTATACAATCAGTTAATTGTTAAATGCCTACTCCAAAAATAATTATTCCATGTTTAACTCGATGCTGATAGAATTAGTTTAAATGCTAGATGGACTATACCAAATTAGCTGTGCTCTTTGAAATGAATTTTTTTTTTTGGTATGGCTCCAAACAAAATCAAAATAAATGTTAGCAAAGTAAAATATTCTCGAATATGACTAATTTATAAGAAGATTCATTTCTCTATCTTTTTGTGGAGTCGCAAATTATCTTCTATATAAGTGAAAGTAAGAGATACATCAAATGTATCATAAATCTTTGGTCCACAATAATTTATTTTCTTCTTACATAACTTGAACACAACATTGTGCTTAGATAACATAAAACATTGTATGTTACCAAATAAAGTGTCATTTCGGTCAAAGTTATAAATTGAAGTTTTGTGATCTATGTAAAAACATGGTTTATGTTGTAAAATATGGTGTTTTGAATTTTGATGGAAAATATTATAAGTTTTTATTTTTAATTTAACCATAAAATATGAAAATATTAGTTTTGCATTCTTCGGAAAACTGTAATTTGTAGAAAACATTGTTATGAGTTTTCTGCGAAACTATAATTTTAGTAGAAACTATATTTTAAAAAAAAAATTGGTGAGGAATTATTTTGACTAAAAACATTTGATCATTTGGAACATTTGGAACATTTAATTAAATAGGTAAATACCAAATACTTTTAAACCTATCAAAACTATTTTTCTCGGCCCATGTAACGGTAGCCCATATGTAGGGTGTCAAAATGGATCAAATGGGTCAACCCAACCCATAACCCAAATGAGTTGACTGTTAATGGGTCATGGGTCAACCCAAACCGTTTAATAATTATGTTGGGTTGACCCATGACTCATTAAATTATATGGGTCAGATGGGTTAATGGTTGACCTATAAACCAACATCTTTGTCCAAACCCAAAATAGACCATTTTAAATAGGCTTTTTACTGAGCGCAATTAATATAAATAGCGTTAAATATGATTTTGCGATTTTAACGGAAAAAATATTACGATTTTAGCGAGAAATGATTAAGCGGTTTTGGCAGAAAAACATGATTTAAATAATTTGCGCGAAAACATGATTTTGTGGTTTTGGCGGAAAACGTAATTTTACGGTTTTGACGGAAAAACGTAATTTTGCGGTTTTGGCGGGAAAATGTGATTTTGCGGTTTTGGCGAGAAAATGTAATTTTTCGGTTTTGACGAGAAAACATGATTTTGCGATTTTGACGGGAAACATGATTTTGCGGTTTGGCGGGAAAACTTAAATTTGTGGTTTTGGCGGAAAACGTAATTTGCGGTTTTGGCGGGAAAACGTGATTTTGCGGTTTTGGCGGGAAAACTTAAATTTGTGGTTTTGGCAGAAAAACGTAATTTTGGCAGGACAACGTGGTTTTGTAGTTTTGGCGGGAAAATGTGGTTTTGCAGTTTTGGCGAGGAAACGTGGTTTTGCGGTTTTGGCAGAAAACGTGATTTTGCGGTTTTGGCGAGAAATGTGATTTTCGGTTTTGGCGGGAAAACGTATTTTTGTGGTTTTGGTGGGAAAACATGATTTTGCGGTTTTGGTGGGAAAACGTGGTTTTGCAGTTTTGGAGAGAAAATGTGGTTTTGTGGTTTTGGCGGGAAAACGTGATGGGTGAGTCCAACGGGACAACTTTAATTTGGAGTTAATGGGTTTGTTTTTAATTTTTGATTTTAATTAAAAACTAAATGGATGAGAGTTGACCCAACCCAATAAGCCCATTAACTTGTTAATCTATTAACCTGTTAACCCATTAACTCATTGGATCAAAAATGAACAGTTCATTTAGGTTAATGTGTTAATTTGGGTTGGGTCAACCCATGGGTCATGATCCATTTTGACACCCCTACCCATATGAAACATCCCAAATTACAGCACTGAACACTACTAAAGCGTGAACCAACTGGGCTAATGACTCGATTGGTACATCAGATAATAAAACAGTAGCATTATGTTGTATAAGCATTATGCTGCAAAAACTGTATGATTTCATTAAAATTTTAATAAAGTAATTGGTAGAGTATTAGCAATATATTTATATTTATTATTATTTATTAGCAAAATTATCATAACATTTAGTATAATAATATATTTATTTTAAATAATAATTATATATTTATAAACTTTTTGTTATTAGAAATAATGAATATTATTCATTACATTAATTATATTATAGTTTATATGTGAAATATTATTATTAAATATGTAAATTTATTTTAAAAATATTAAATTATTTTTGAAATAAACATAACTTTTAATATTATATAAATATATAAATATATATTTATTATTATTTATTTATTAGTAGAGGAGTAAATGATTAATATTTTAAGTATCATAAAACTAATATATGTAATATAATTTATTGATTAGTGTCTAAATAATATAATATAGGTATTTTTATATCTATAATATATAAATATATATTATGTTACATTTGTTAATAAAAATAACGAATGAACTGTATAACTATATAAATTATGTTATATTTTAAGTGTGAAATATTGTTCTTTTTAAAAAAAGTTAAAAATATTTAATGGCAATTTTTTATTTTTAAAAATAGAAATTTATTTTTATTATATTTTTTATATTATTTAATAAAAATAAATTAATTATATATAATATTTTAAAAGTGTTATATATTCTAACTGCAAATGCTCTCCCACAAACTTCATATGAGAGCATTGAACAAAGAGTCTATGGAGAGCAGTAGCATTTGGTAAATGCTTTTTTAAATGTTTTTTGGTTAATATTGATTGGATAATCGAGAACATAATGCTTATGCTAATGTTCTACTAATCAGTTGTAAGATCGTCTCTAACCAACAGCTTTGCTAGATTTGGAGGTTTAGGTATTATGGCTGATAAGGAAACTTCCGAAGAAGGGCCAGTGCTCTCGTATGTAAGTAGTCTCCGAGATTCCTCTTCCTCATCATATTAGTTCTCTTAGGCGTGAAACTCAAGGAACAAATAATTTCGTTAGGGTTTTGATCTGGATTTCACTAACGATCCGCCTACAGAAGTTATGTCTCGTTGGGACATGAGTATGATATTGGTCTCTATGCTAGGGTTGGACTCTACTGCCACAATCTTCAGAAGGTAATTAAGCTTTCATCACTACGATAGTCGATATGATCACGCTTGGAGAAACATTTTATTTTATTTTTTATTATTTAAAAAAAACTGCTTATACCAGGGATTTACAAGCTATAAATCCTACGTGTAACCTAAACTCATAAGAGCCTATACCAGGGACTTAACAATGCCCTCAAAAGAAACTCAACCAAAAAGCTAAAGGAGTAACAGGAGAAGGACCAGAAATCCTCATGTTTCTCGAGATAGGGTCTAATCTCAGCCGAATAGTCTTCTCAATATTCTGGATAATGTTTTGAGCAGGTCTGCAGATATTAGTATGCAATCTCGAGTTTCTCTCCTTCCAAACCATGTATATAACTGCTTGGAAGATGAGTTTGATGATGAGCAAGCAATTAGGATCCGAAGTAGGAGCCTTCAGCCATCGCAAGCAGTCTTCAAACAAGGTTGGAGGCGCTAAATGGAGAAGCGAGCAAAAATGGTTCCAAATCTCAGCACTGAACGAATAGTCGAAGAATAGGTGTTCCCTGCACTCATTGTGGCCAGAGCAAAGTAAACAGCTTGGAGAGACATCAATACCCCACCTCCTCATTCTATCTCTAGTGGCCAATCTATTCCACGCAACCAGCCAAGAGATAAAGGCATGTTTAGGGACTCTACCTTTAAACCAAACTTGAGAGTGCCAGAAGACTGATGGGTTAGGAGGATGAAGGAAGCTCCATGTCTTAGCTGTAGAGAAGCGATCTGAGGGGGAATCGTTTCCCACTCTCCAAAGGTAAAGATCATCAACTGATGATTGTACAATAGGAAGAGCAGCCGGTAAACACTGCTTCAACAAAGAGATGATGATTTCCTGCTTCAAGAAGCACTCAACCACCAGTCACCATTTGTTAAAGCCTCAGCTACCGTTGCATCCTTATGCATACCTGAGACTGCAGGTCCCCGCTTGGAGAAACATAGCAGGCAGGCAGTACACCCCATGCACCGGCACATCCATCATCACATAACATAACTAACTTTTCTACATAACTTTCGAGGCAACGGATCCGGCCACCGGCTCTGTCATCTCTTTTCAGTTGATGTTATGTGATGATGGATGTGCTGGTGCATGGAGTGTCAGACTTTCGTTGCTCAACTTGACCTCCAGAATCAAACCTATACGTAAGAACTTTATATATACTGATAGTGCGTGGTTTTCAGTATTTGAGATACTACTCATTCATTTAAATATTACTTTTATTTTCTTTTGTAATGGAACGAGCGTCTGGATGATGAATGGGATGAGGACACGCCTGCAATACATGATTTCTACACAATGCCCAAATGGTTTTCTGATCAAGCGTTGGAACGTGACAGTAAAAAATATTACGTGGTAACAACATCAGATGATCCATTCATGAAGTTGTAACTTCTATATGTTTTGTAGTTAGTAACATTACGTATCATTTATATATTCGCAGGTGCCTGAATCAGAGCTGCATGACAATGATTGGTGGCAACTTCTTATGGAAGTCGCCTTCTTCTCCAGAGAAGCTCTTGTAAGTCCTTTGATTTCGCAATTCTTGTTCTGCCCTAAATCAAAATTAACTTCAAACTTGTTCTCATGTAATTGCAGTGTTTGCATGCCAATCGACCCTTGGAGCTCAAGAAGGTTGTTGTAGAAACTTTTGAAGAATACATAACAGGGCTCGTGAGAAGCTCGAGGCAGATAATGCAATCTTCTACATTAGTTACAAGTGTTTTGTGCTGATCCATCAAGCCGCACCAAAAACAATAGATGGGGAATACATTTGGTTGATGATCACGTTGTCATAGTTAGGAAAACCATGGATGGGAATCAAGGACATATGGGTCTTGAAGTTGCTTTTACCAAAGAACAAGAAAAGGAGTACATGTGAATCTGGTCTGTTATAATTTAGCAGTTATGTTGTCCACAGTCTTTTTTTTAATCATGTTGTGTTTAGTATCACGATGTTGTGTGTTTGGATGATGTTTATGTTTTCAAACTCTTTTTACTAGAACGAGTGGTTCTCTCTGGATGAGTCTAACAAATGAACATCAAATCTATCCAAAGTTCCAAGCACAATACGAAACCCTAGTAAACACGTTTTTTTTTTTGTAAAAAAAAATAATTAAGCTTTATTCATCCTGATACAGTAAAGTCAGCTGATCAATTTAGAATTATTTATTCAATTCAATGTAAGATTACAAAGAATTGATCTCATCAAGCCAAGAGATACCAAGTAGAAACACTCAAAAGCTTGATAGAGAGGTACACCCAAATCCAGAATTACAAGAAAGAAACAACACACATTTTTGTTCACTGAATCAAAATCAACTTCTTCTCTTCCTTTTACCTAATGGTTTCTAACAAACTTGTGCAACTGACATTTCCCTGGTAGACACGTGTCTCCTTCGTTTACTAACTCACTCCAATCCACGTGTCATCCCTTTCCTATAGCAAATTCTCCCCTTCAAGAGAACCTTGACCACAAGGTTCGAAAGATGGAAACTTCTGCTGCAAGTCAAACAAAAATTCCCACGTAGCCTCCTCCTCTCCCTGGTTTTTCCACTTAACCAAAACCTTAGTAGCTGCTCGGTCTTGACGTTTCACCATCTTACGCTCAAGTATCGCTTCTGGTTCTTTCAACAATACATCAGTGACCACAACCGGAAGGTGACGCGTTGTAGGTACATCACCTACCAAAACCTTCAGCTGAGAGACGTGGAAGACCGGATGAATCAGAGAAGAGGGAGGTAACTCCAACATATAAGCCACTGACCCACACCGATCAATTATCTTGTACGGACCAAAGAATTTAGGAGACAGTTTGTTGTTGGATCGCATCACAGTAGACTGTTGCCAATATGGTTACAACTTCACAAACACATAGTCTCCAATCTCGAAACTCCTCTCCGTTCTATTCAAATCCTCGTTCTGTTTCATACGGTGCTGAGCGCGAAGAAGATGAAACTGCAGTAAAAGAATCATATCCTCACGATCTTGTAATGACTGAGCCACCGTTTGAACTTTAGATTCGCCTGGAAGATAGGGTAGATGAACAGGAGGTGGGCGACCGTAAACAGCTTCAAAAGGTGTAAGTTGTGTTGCCGTATGAAAGGTAGTATTATACCAATACTCCGCTAATGGTAGCCATTTGCTCCATAAATGAGGGCGCTCACTGGTCATACAACGGAGGTAAGTCTCTAAGCATTTATTCACAATCTCGGTCTGACCATCGCTTTGGGGATGATAAGCAGAGGAGTAGTTCAATGCCACACCTTGTAAAGTGAAGAGCTCTCGCCAGAAGTCGCTTAGGAAAACAGTATCTCTGTCATTGGCAATGGATTGAGGAAGACCATGAAGGCAAAATACTGTATCCAAGAAAGCTTGAGCAACTGTAGCCGCTGTATAAGGATGACTTAAAGCCACAAAGTGAGCAGCTTTGCTTAATCTATCCACCACTACCAGAATCACATATTTTCCAAAGGACTTAGGTAAACCGTCAATAAAATCCATTGATATGTCAGACCAGATAGCTGTAGGAATCGGTAACGGTTGCAATAAACCGGGAGATGCTATCGTCTCATGTTTGCACTGCTGACAAACAGCACAACTCCTGATATACTGTTGAATATCTTTGGTCATTCCCTTCCAATAAAACAAGCTTTTCACACGATGATGTGTTGCATCCCGACATGAATGCCCACCACCCAACTCAGCATCTGACGGAATGACTAGCTTGCTCTTTCTGCGTAAAGTGCCCTGTTTCCACGTAAAGTGTCTTTTGAAACCAGGGTTCTTTTTCAAAGCCTCAATGAGTTCCTTAGTCTGCAAGTCAGTCTCATTACAACCCTGTATCTGTTTCAACAGATCACACTCCATAACAGATATAGCCATACTCAAGACCTCTGATCCCTCAACACGCGACAAAGCATCTGCAACTAAATTGTCTTTGCCTTGCCGGTACTGAATCTTGTAATCAAACTCCATAAGTTTGGGTAACCATTGTTGTTGAATAGGTGTATTCAATCGTTGCTCCAGCAAATACTTTAAGCTCCGTTGATCCGTTCTGATGATGAAGTGATCATGCAGAAGATAATGTCTTCACTTCTGAACTGCAAACACCACCGCAAGTAACTCTTTTTCATAGATGGAGAGATGTAGTTGTTTACCTTTCAAGTGTCTACTGATATATGCAATAGGATGACCCTCTTGCATTAAAACTGCGCCAATACCACTTCCACACGCATCAGTCTCCACCACAAACTGTTTGTTGAAGTCGGGCAATGCCAGAACAGGTGCATTGCATAGAGCCTGTTTCAGTTTCTCAAACGATTTATGTGCTTCCTCAGACCAAAGAAATGCATCCTTTTTGGTTAATATTGTAAGAGGTCGAGCAATGCCACCAAAACCTTAAACAAAACGTCTATAATACCCTGTCAGTCCTAAGAACCCGCACAATTGTTTCAGGATTGTAGGTGTAGGCCAATCCTTAATAGATTTAATCTTGTTAGGATCAGTAGAAATGCCCTTTGCTTCAATATAATGTCCCAAATATTCCACCCTCGAAGTAACGAAGTCACACTTACTCCTTTTAGCATATAAATTGTTTGCTCTCATGACTTCAAATACCTCTCTGAGATGTTGAAGATGATGTTCCTCTGACTCTCTATATATCAGTATATCATCAAAGAAGATGATAACAAATTTGCGGAGGAATGGCTTGAAAACTGAATTCATCAGACTCTGGAACGTTGCAGGGGCGTTCGTCAAGCCAAATGGCATGACCAAGTACTCATAATGGTCACTATGCGTCTTGAAAGCAGTCTTGTGTGTGTCTTGTGGATCCATCCTTACTTGATGATATCCAGCGCGCAAATCTATCTTGGAATAGACAGACGAACCGCCTAACTCATCCATCAAATCTTCAATTAGAGGAATAGGGAATCTGTCCTTAATAGTCATGATATTTAAGTTCCTGTAATCCACACACAAGCGCCAAGTACTATCTTTTTTCTTCACAAGAACCACTGGTGATGCATAAGGACTAGAACTATTCTTCACTGTACCTGCATCCAACAACGCCTGAACCAGCTTATCAATCTCTGTTTTTTGATATAAAGCATATCGATAAGGACATTGATTGACTGGATTCGAGCCTTCCATAAGAGGTACCTTGTGATCGTGATTTACACAGTATGGAGGAAGTGTAGTTGGTTCTTCAAAGATATCCCCATATTCTGTCAACAATCCATTCAACCGAGAATCTGTTACTTTACTCCCTACGCTGTTCTCAGCACTCACTCCTACTGAAAACAGTTCAGGAGCACCAGCGCTCACTCCTACTGGAAACAATTCTGGTTTATCAATACCCACGCCAAACTCTCCTATCATGTTGTTCAAACCAAAAGCTGCTACTTTACTCTCTGCTATGTCCTCAGCACTCACTCCTACTGGTAACAGGTCAGGAGCACCAGCTCTCACTCCTACTGGCAACAGCTCTGGTGTATCAGCGCTCACTCCTACTGAAAACAACTCGGCTTCCACGTCAGCCTTATTGATGTAAATCAGCGATACCTGCACTTCCTCATCGGTTAGCGTGATCTTATTAGCTTTCACTTCAGTCAAAAGTCCTTCTTTAATACCATGTAACACCACCCTTTTGTTAAGATACTTAAACTGCATCTCTAGTTTCAAGAAATCCCAAGTTCTCGGACCAAGCAAGGAAAGCCATTGGACCCCAAGCACCATATCACAGTGGCCCAGAGGAATCAACATCATGTCTTGTTTGAAAGTTGCATTTTGGAACCTCCATTCAAACTGTTTGACACAACCGGTGACTGTTAACTTCCCACCATCAGCCACTGCAACTCGTTTCATGGATGGTGGTTTGATCACACAGCCTAACTTCTCAGCCATGCTCGGACTCATGAAATTATGGATAGACCCTGAGTCAATGAGTATATACAGAGTTCTCTTCCCATGAAGACCCCTAACCTTCATCATTCTATAATTCTCTGTAATACCCGCAACGGCACTAACTGAGACTTGAGCTATGATTCCTTCATTCTCCTCATTCTCCTCCTCTTCTAATGCTTCAAAAAACTCATCTTCGTCTACCTCCATCGAATAAAGTTGAGTTTTCTTGTGTTTCAAGTAATGACCTGGAGTATATTTCTCATCACACTGATAACATAAACCTTTTGCACGCCTTTCACTCATCTCTGCTTGAGAAAGAAACTTATGAGGTTGTTCCACCTGTTCCGTCTGTTTTTCATTCACTCCCAATGGTTTTTTACTCTCCATGGGTTTCTGAAACTGTAACAATCCTTTATTATTGGTACTGTTAGACTTTCCTTGGCCCCAACTCTGTGACTGATTCCTACGAGGATGAGCTGTCTCATATAATCTTCCCAACGTCAAACATTCACGAATCGATTGTGGCCGAAACATCCTGACGTGCATCTGCGTATCAGTATTCAAACCAGCCAAATATGCACGCACCAAATAGTCTTCAGAAAGCTTCACTTTATTGCGAATATTCTCAAATTTAGCATGATACTGACTAATTCCTTCTGTTTCTTGCAAACGCTTAAGTTCTGCAATTGGATCATCAAGCACATCTTCAAATCTTTCTTTTAATAGCAGTTTGTATTGCTCCCAATCACCCATCATATACGCATCTTGCTCCGACTGTGCCACCGATTGGTGCCACTCTGCCGCCAGCGAATCAAAATGAATCGATGCTAAGCGTACGCGAAGATCCGGTAGAGTATTATCAACCACAAAGAACTCCTCAACCTTGAACAACCAACTCTTCACATGCTCACCATTAAATCTGGGAAAATCTACCCTCGCTAAACGCGTCATACCAGAATAAGTCGGCGGAAAGGG